GCTTGGCAGGCTACTTCACTAAAATGTCAAGCGCCAATAGACGTCTCCCCTGATTTTTCAGGATTGTCGTTTTATCAAAATAAAGGTTAACTGGAGTATTAAAAAACATTCTTGACTTTTAACATTCTTTGAAGGCAGAGCTTATTGGTACGGTGCTGTTTTCAGGTACCAAAAAAGGATGAAAAAACATTTAAAAAATCCAACACCTGGCTGAAATGTTGAGCGACATGATCCGCCCATGCTAATCATTTGACCAATCTGTTTCCTATGTTTTCAAGTGTGTTTATGAAGTAGGCTAATTTAAACTTTGGAGTTTTCAAAAAAGGTGAATTTTTTTTCTCATGGTGCTCTGATGAATAAAAAATAAAAAAATTTTGACTTTGAATGGTACAAAATAACTTAATACGTATGTTACAAAATACTTCTGTTATGAAAATAAACACTATTAATTAAATTAGTAACTTAAAAATATTTAATTAAGTAATTTTAAATAAATTCTTTAAACATAACCTAAGCGTGGATTACTGGGTGTTTCTTGCACAAGCTTTTTTTATCTAAAAAGAGGCTTTTAGAAAATTGCCCATGAAGGGAATAAGTTATTATTGCCCAGTTGGTACAATAGTAAGATTTGGCATGGGACCAATCAACTTTTTTTACATCACTAGAAGCCAAAAAAACACCATTCATTAGAATTCATCTGTATGCCCATTAGCACAATAACTCGAGTAAAAATCAAACGACTTTGTTGAAATTTGGTACAAACTTATAAACTTACATCTATTCAAACAATTTTGAAAACTAGCATGATAGGAATAGGGCAGGGTGTTACAAACCTTAACGAGGGTAAAAAGTTTTCTTTCCATAATATAAGAACCTCAAAATAGAAAAATTCTTTACAAATGATTTTGTAGAGCTTAAAAAGAAATAATGTAGTCTGTGAAGTGTTGTATGCTCAATAGTTGAGTAGAAAAAAATATGGCAATTGAAAATTTTTATGTTATTATTATGTAAAATAAGTAATCTATTGTAGCTTGCTTCTTTATGGATATACACATTACAATAACAGAATTGCCAGAAGTGATCAACTTTAGTGGCAGCACCAGAACACAAACCCATGACATTGATTTGTTAGATTTTATTAAAAAATAAAATGTACCATATTATCAACTTTTCCAACGACGAAAAATTGTTGTATTTTTAAGCTTAATGAGTTTTCAAAGGTTGTAAATTAAATTACTGATGTTGTGTATTTTTACTCCTTCCCGTCTGAAATTATTAAACTGGTTTAAAAGTTGACCTAAATTAATGTAACGTCAAAAATAAAAAAGTGTTCTTTAATGTAATTCTTGTTTATTCAAAAATATGTATTTGATTATAAGGCACCCATAGCATATCCTACCTGAATTTTTTGTGAACTTAAAAATTCTAAACTAATTTGAATTGACCTTTTTCTAATTTTTACATACCACAATTTCTCCAGTTGGTCACATAAAATACACTTGTTCTGAAGATATTAAATAATATGAACTAAACTTATACATCTTTTACTGTTGTGAAAAAATAATAGACTAATAAGAGTTATTTGATACAAATGAAAATTTCAAAACTACTATTGTGGATACCGGAGTGAAGACTGCATAAATTCTTCACTTACTAGTAGATATATCCTGGGTGATAAACTACGACATGGGTAGGAGCGGTTGAGCCAAGACGTATAGCCTGCTGACTGGTTTATATGTGGCCGATGTTTTATTGGTTATAGATTTGGCAGCAGGGCTCCGTCGAGCACTGTTGGGGGTGAACTACACTTGTCCCCCCCCCTCCTCTGCCACTACGTTCATTCATCCTAACCCACGTTCGGCCCGTGCCAACAGACGCTCGTTTTGTTTTAATGTTCTGTTGAAATTTTGGGTCGTTAATCTTGGAGTTTGGTTTGGTCGGATCTTTTTCGATGATGATAAGCGCCCTTTCTGTGGTTAATGTTTTGGGAAATACTTCAATTTTTTTATTTCATTAGCTATAGTTTTTGAAAAAGTAGGAAAAGTTATTCGTATGAAAAGACATTTCCAAAGATGTTTCAACATTAGTCAATGTGCTTCTCGCCACTTTTGTAACGGTTTTCTGTATCTATTTCATTTTATATTTTTGAGCGGGGCGAGTGAAGGTCTTTGAGATCAGATCTTATGCAAACTATGTAATCATAAGATATTATCATAAAAATTATTTTAGCAACTTATCGGTGGTCAGTAAAGTAAACAATGGAAACTCTGTAGTCTGCCTAGGAGATGATAAATATCTTCGCCAGGCTAAAAATCGTAGCCATTGCTGCATCATAAAAATTATTTTAGCAACTTATTGGTGGTCGGTGAAGTAAACAATGGAAACTCTGTATCCTGCTCAAGAGATGATAAAAATCTACGTCACGCTAAAAATCGTAGCCATTGCTTCATAACGTTTGTTCATTTAACTCTTTTTTAATTTTTTGTGATTGTGGTTAATTTCAATCTACTAATCGATAATCAAGAGTCTGCTGTATCATGAATGTGCTGATAATATGCCCAGTGTATGAAACAAAGAATAATGATGTACTGTTGATTAGTAGATTATTATCAGGAAACAAGGCACATTAAATACAGAACAAGATTTGGTACTGTAGAACAATTTGACCAAGAAATATAACATGTTAATTGATTCAGAGATCACATTCGCTCAATGACAGTGTCTTTTCTAGACATTTTTGGTTTGAGACATGCCTCGCTCTTGCTTTATGCTTTATATAAGTTATTTATATGCCTATATGGACAACATTAAGTTACTTATTATTTTTATTATAAATTTAAGTTGATTGTTACTGTGTCAAATAGGCAAAGTTTATTATAATAAACTCAGATTTCAAATAATTATAAAAAAATAAATAAATAAAAACTGCAGTCACTAGTGGCTTGCCACTTGACTGAAACAACAAATTTTTTACTGACTACCTATGGATCAAGGAGATTTAAATTTGTTCCAAACTGACATTAAACACTTTAAAATATATGGAATTTGTGGAAATAATTACTTCTCTTTTTAGGAAGAGGCAATTGTTTTGAAAAGAGAGAGTTCAAGCTAGATATTATTTGTATAAAAAAAAACTCAGCAACAATTTACTAAGCCGCTGCGTTTTTCTTTAAAAATGTTTTTTTTTAAGAGTACATTTCAGCATACACACTCCTATTTGCTATTTAGCTTTCCATAATATGGTTAATGTTGACAAAAAAGATGCTAAACTTTACAATAATCTACCCTTTTTGTTTGATATGATTATACAATTAGTAAATGATGTAGAACACAGTAATTTAGCTGCAGCATTGTGGCTCAATCATTGACCTAATTTGTTTCATACTGTATTCTTGAATCTGCGAACACTGGGGATGGAATATGTCGTAAAGTGTATTAATGGTGAAATTTATTAGTCATTAGTCTTTTCTTGTAAATATTGCAGTTCAACAAATCGTGGTAAAGAAACATGCAATGTCACTACTGTACGTTGTAATGGTGAAATTTATTAGTCATTAGTCTTTTCTTGTAAATATTGCAGTTCAACAAATCGTGGTAAAGAAACATGCAATGTCACTACTGTACGTTGTAATGGTGAAATTTATTAGTCATTAGTCTTTTCTTGTAAATATTGCAGTTCAACAAATCGTGGTAAAGAAACATGCAATGTCACTACTGTACTGTACTGTACGTGTGTTGCGTCATGTTGTGCTAATTAAATTCATAGTTTCTCAAAACCCACATAATTTTAAGTTTCAATGTGGTATCACTTTGTAATGGGCCTTGAGGGTGGAGCCTATACAAAATTTTGTTCGTGGCATGTATTTATACGCTGAATCAAGCAGTATATAACATATACATATATATGTTATATAAACATATATAACATATATATGTTATATAAACATATATAACAAATAAGTAAATAACAATTATATCATTTGGTGTTTCCGTTGATAATGATGATGAAACCAAACAAGCAATGTTTAATTCAATAGCTGTAGTGTATCAGTGGTAGTCAAAGGCCCGGCCTGGCCAGTAGTGTAGTGTGTCACCCAGTAGGGGGCTAAACACAAGCCACTAGCCACTATATCACATACCTGCAGTTTAATTAAAACACATCTCTCTTGCTGTCCACGTCCAACAGACTCCTCCGCTTTGTTTCAATATTCATTATACAAGTGTGGGGAAATCATTTCAAAAATGTTGTATAGTCTTGAAATTTTGCATTACATTGTACAATTTTTTAATTTTTCCAAAAATTTTGAGGCAATTGAGGTTTGAGCTTTTTGTTTTGTATGTGTTTGACCCGTATTTGGTTGAAGCATTAAGGTAGTTTGAGATTAAGCCAGAATGTTTCAATGTATTTAGACAGTTGTGCAGTCCTAAATGCCTAGGTTCTAATCCCGCCAATCCCCAATGGTATTTTTATATGTAAAATTCCCTAACTTGGTGGCGTGGAGGCCTCCATAACCTTAGGTTCACTTAAATAAGTTAAACAAGTTTTATTTAAAGATTTAGTTGATTGATTGTACAGAGTCTAGATCTTATGGGATGACCAATATTTGAGCGTCTACTTTTAGCACGGAAGCCCACATTCTAGTTTGACATTACAAACCCAGTAATGCAGTGTTTTAAAAATAGATAGATGTTTTGTTTATATTCTAGCATAATGGTAACTGTTTTTTGCAGTAAAAATGAAGTGTGTTTTTGAGCAGTAGAGTTGAACACCATTTTGTTTAAGCCAAAGTTCCATGCAGCTTAATAATCAGAAGATATGTTGGTTGCTATTGCTAGGGGAATTTATGGGTATTTGAGGAACACTGTGGGTCATTGAACAATTTCTATGATTCTGGAATTTGTTGTAGCTACTGTACTTTAAAATTGGCTAAAACTTAATCAAGGGGATTGAATGTCTAGTTGTATCCAGTCAAAGGTGTACTCAAGTCGTATGTCTACAGGATGTAGCAGCAAGAGGACTGGACCTGCCCAGTGTTGACTGGATAGTTCAGTACACAGCACCAGCCACAGCGTCTGACTATGTACATCGGGTTGGTCGCACTGCCAGGGTCGGACATGCAGGGTCCGCTGTGCTCTTCCTGGTACCTTCCGAAGTCGACTTTGTGTCACATCTAGAAAATAAGAGGATAAGGTGAGAAGTTTCCCTAAAAAATAATAGAAAATGTCAAATTGTATTTTTTTTAGATTGATACAATGTCACAATAATTAATTTTATTAATAGAATAGAAGAAACCATTCACTATACACAATACTAGGAGTTATTTTGAAGAAGGATAGAGTTAAGTTAGCTTATCTAAGAAAATTAGATTACAGGGACTAACAGACAAACAAAAGATCAAAACTAACCTTCTTAAAAAAATGTCCCAACCAGGCACTTGTTTGTTTGAAACATGTACACTATGCTCATCCTATTCACTATACTCAGCCAATGCTGTGTTGTTAACAAACTTCTGCTGTGTACTGCTTGCACTATAGTCCGTGAGGTAGGCGAAGGACTCTAAGGGATTACAGCCCTCACACACACAGAGACACACCTACACACACACACAGGGGTCACGCGCCGTGGGGTAGGTAGGGCCCTGCTTGCGAGTGCGCGTGCGTTGGTGGAAGGGACGTTCATCCCTCAGGGTCCTTCGCCAACCTCACGGACTATAGTTAATTAAAGCTCTAACACACTAACTAATTTTATTGTTCTTTCCCAGCCCATTTTGTCCCTAATGTAATGTCGCTTGTACACTGCAAACCGTGTTAGCAGAAACAGGTATAAAGGCTTACATCTGGAGTAGGTAGCCAGTGGTAGAACCATCCATATGCAATCCCAGGTTAATTTACCTATGTTGCTTTTAACTATCTTTCATGAGCATAATTTTGCAATTGGTCAGTTAAGCTTCTTTGTTTTTATTTAAAAATCACTTTTAAAAATGCTGTAGCAGGAGGTTATACTGTAATTGCCATATTTTAGTTAAATACATAGCTTTTCTGGCCTTTTGTGGCTTCCTTGACTAAATGTGTTTTACTGCTCTAATTGGCTGACCTCCATGCTTGACAAATATTCTGTGAAAAGTTCAAAACTACAAAGAATGTCTATTTTAATTTTAGTTTATTGACTTTTCCTATGCTATGTTTGTTTTGATTATACTATGTACAGTAGTCACTTGCACTTGTGTAGTCAACACACTTAGCTTAGGAAAAACCATAAACTCTAATATAAACTATAATATAAATACAGAACTAAGTTTGGCATTAATTTTTGTCAACATTGGTCATTTTTAGTCTCAGACTGGAGTTTATTGTTAACCTAATACTTAATACCAATTAGTATAAAGGTTTTTTGTACCTGCACTAATTATTTTGCCAATAAATTAGTAAAACAATTAAAAAACCAAATTTTACCAAATACAATTACAGATGAAATTATTTCATTGCTTTTATGGCATTAAGAGAGGATTGAAATTACAACACCTATCAAATTAATCAAACAGATTGCTTTGAAAACTGGTAATTTAATTCATTGGATTTGTATGTGTTAGTTAATATGGTGTCAGTTAATAAATAGAAACGGACAGACAAATCTGTGGTCGGTTTGTGGTTGAGTCTAATTAAAGTTGAGGTCTGTCAACCTTGGGCGTCAGACGCGGCCCTGGCGTTGCCGATTGTGGTTGAATTTTACACGGCATCAGACTGTTTAAATTGGTATTAAAGCTGTTCAGCCATTATACATCTTATGTACCGGTAATAATATTTACCACCTTGTACCAAAGAATGTTTTGGTTTTGACCTTTTCGGGATAAACTTTAATTATTTTACGATTGAATTTTGTAAATGAAAAGTGGAATTTCAAGTAGCATCAACAATTTTCAAAAACCTCTGAAAAATAAATTTGGATTTTGAAAATTCTTTCCATCAATTTCTAACTCAGCATATATTCTTTCCTAAGTAGAAGAAACTATGCTGAAGTTTTTTTACCCAATTTTTAGCTGTGTCAGGAGAAATATTTAAGCTCAAGATTTTAACTAAACTGAAAAACCAAGATTTTGCATTTTCATACAGACCTAGGGTAATGCTTCCAATCAGCTAATGCTGCCGATTCACAAAAACAGAGACAACATAGGCCTACACAATAACTTTTGTATTACTCATATGTGCTTGAACATGTATTAAAAATAATCAATTTCTGCGTCTTGTTAAAACGTAATGTCTTTTGAAAAGCGATGTTTTCCTGAAAACTGAAGTTAAAGGAATAAAATTATGTGATTGGGTATAATATCCTTATCTGTACCAAAAATATTACTACGTAAATCTCAATATGCCGCATTTTCAAAATGATAGAGGTTTGACCCCTCCAAGTAGAGAAAACCCCCAATTAACCGAAATAAAGTGAGCAAGAGAATAAGATCTTTTTTCTCTTTTCAGTTAATCAATATTCGGTGTTAAAAGGCTATTTCAGCTCAAATACAGATCCTCAACAATAGATTTGAACATTATTTTAAATACTGTAATTTTAAAATCTACAATGGTTTACACAAAATCTATTTCTTATAACAATTGACAATTATTGTTTCTTGCAGCAGTCACCAACTACCTGCACGATGGCTGACAATTCTCATTGCCTAGCAGATTTTTCCATTGAAATAAATTGTTATTATATGTCGATTAAAAGGGGTTTCATTATATCCTATAAATGTAAAACTGTATCTAATTTAGTAATTTGTTTAGTTATTAAATTTTCAGATTGGAAGAAGAGCAGATGGTGAGATGTCTTTACAACTTGCAAACCATTCAATGGGAAGAAGACGATGTAAGTTATGAACGTAATAGTTTTATTTAGCTGATTTTAAAAAGATTTTACTCTTGGTTTTATTTTCATAACACAGTTTGTAAATCCAATAAGATGTTTGACATATAGTATGCAAGTTTTTCATGTATAAATTGTGAAAACAACTGTTTTCACATACTCTTGTCTCATATAAGTCTCCCAATTTTTGTTCATCCTCAATTTATTCTTTACTTCTCACAAATACCTTTGCTCAAGAGATTGTCTCACTTTCAATGTATCGGGAAGCTGAAGGGCGTCAGATCTATCTAATATGGTGCTCGCTTGAAAATCAAAAAGTTGCCAGTTTGATCATGCAAAAAGTTAGCGATAATAGAACTAGATCCAGCTGTCCATAGTCATTGGACCTGGCTATAGAACTAGCTGGATTTTAGTCAGTAACTGCTATCATCTCTTTGATTCAACCCTCATCCCACAAATACCCACCCTGGTATGTTTGCATAGTACACATTTAATCTCGTTTTCAGTATTTAGATACTTCCATCTTTAGTTACTTTAAAAATATCCATAGCTTTATTTTTGCTGAAGTACAAAGATTGTCTGTGGATTAAGTTATCTATCAGGTTCCTGTTGGGCCAAGTAAACTTGTTCAAATTGTTTCCTTACTTTATTCACTACTATTAAAGCTTGTTCTCGCCCATTGAGTTACGCCCGTCAAGTATGAATCACAATAAGTTTTCTGTTCGAAGGGGATAAATCGTTGATTACTAATTCTAGTTGACAGATGTTTATGCAGAAAGATGTTTTGATGTAAAAAATATGTATTAGCGGCTTAGGAAGTTGGTAAAGTTCATATATATTTGCACAACAGGTGTTCAATTTCTCTTGAAATAGTGATTTAATTAGTGGAAACTTTGCTCACTGATTGGCCAGTTTCAGACTTTCAGGGCTGGCCGTAGTCCTTGAGGGCTTATATACCTTTTCTAGTCTACCATTAATTTGATAATCTCTCTCATTCAGTCGCACCACAATTTGCTTGCAAAATTCTCCTAACTTTGGTCACTACTGTTTCAAACGAGAGTGATAAAAAACAGAAGTAGGGCCTCTCCATATCCAACATCATGCAAATTGACACTTGGCTGTATGACGAAGGGGTGTATGTACATATGAGACATACACCCCTTCATCTTGCAAGCAACAAAATGTTTAAGACGACTTCCAAACCCCCTCCAATCCTGGACACACTATCGATCTTTTCCCCGATCAAGACCCCGAACCGAGCAGGGAGAAGGGAGAAGGGAGATAAATATAAGCAAAATTTCACTCCGAACATTTCCCCGAACAAGACCAAGACAAGACGAATTCTACCGAGCGCGGCAAAAGGGAGTTTAGAGAGAGATGGAGAGTGTGTGCGAGTGAGAGCGCGTTAAAAGTCGCTTTTTGAAAACTTGTCGCAAAAATAAAATATTCTAAAAAGTATGCTTATGTGTATTGATATGTATTGATGTGTATTGATATGTATTGATATGTGTGGATTGATATGTATTGAGTTATATGTATTGATTTTTATTGGTTTTATTCATTGAAAAAACGTTACAGAATGATCATTTTTTTATAATATTAATGTTTGTATTAATTTTGAAAGAATTTAAAACAACATTAATTACTTAATTCACTTTAATATTATTGATATAATTAATTTAACGGTTTCTACATTTTCAACCTTGACCAAACAAACCACAACATTACATCTTAAATGATCATAATATAGGCAATAACGGCAACATATTACCCAACATTTATTTATTTTACCAATTAAAGGGTCTAATTGCCATATTAAATTATAACTCAACAATAGCACAGGCGGCCGCTCGGTGCGGCGCTCGCGACGTCGTACGGGGCAAAAATGTACCGTGACACACTATCGTACATCACTCCGTACATCGGACCGATCTTTTCTTTGATCTTTCGCCAAAAAACCGCCTCCAGAGCGCTCGTCTCCCTGCTCGGCCTGATGTCTGGTTCGCCGTCTGGATCGGTGTACGGACCCGTGACACACTATCGAACATGCTCCCTTCGACCTCCCTTCTCCCTTCTCCCTGCTCGGTTCGGGGTCTTGTTCGGGGAAAAGATGGATAGTGTGTCACCGTCTTTATAACTTCAGGGGTGGGACAACATTATGAGTGACTGAATGGTACGCAAGTAGGTAAGGACATTTTAACACAGCCCCACCAATGTTCATGATGAGCAACGCACTGGGTACGGGGACAGTAATGATGCCGCCCAGTGCGTTACTCATCATGAACGTTGGTGGGGCCGTATTTAAATACCCTTATCCACTTGCGTACCATTCCGTCACTCATAATGTTCTTGCCATACATTTCCCTAGTCTGTCGATGATTTTCTATAGCTTTCACACCTATAGCACTTAAAAATCTAATTACAGCGCACACTTCACAGTCGGCGGCAGTCTCAATTGGCGGCACCATTTTGAATGCTCAAAACCGGATGTAAACACGACCGAATGTTCTCGAATATCCGGCTAGGCCTTACCAATAGATGCCCATACACAGCGCAAATGTCGAAAATGCCAATCCCAGTGCTGGAATGGAGAAATTTCAAAACGGTACTTACTTAAAAAACATGCCTCGTATATCACAAATCTATTGATTTATCTTTCTCTCACCATTTAGACATAACTATTACCTGGGTGCCAGGGAAGGGGAGTTGTTTTACTACATTTAGTACATTTAGATTATTACGATACCAATACATCGGGGAACAAGAGATGAATAGACGATAAGTGTTGAATGAGTGATTTGAGCTGTCTGATCAGCTGGTTCTAAAGTCAGGATTTGAAAAGTCTATTGATCAAGGACAGCTGGGTCTGGTTTAGAACAGCTAAAAAATGCTAATTTCATCAGAATCAAACTGGAAAATTTCTCATTACCAGGACACTACCCATTAAACTATCCATCTTTTACCATATATTGGACCATAATTGGATTACCATATTTGGATATATTGGATTATATTACACCTGTTGACGGCCAATTCTTTTTCCAGAGAGCACCTTCAGGTATGGAGGCTGCAGCTACTACGCTACAACTCAGATTTGAAACAGCTGTCCTCGATCAAAAGAAGCTTCACAATCTGGCCTGTAAAGGTAAATAACCAATCATCAAAATAACCAAAAACTACATTGTAATGTTGAATGCAGGTAAACCCACTACAAATCTCTGATAAAGATAAATTAAACCTACTTGCTTTATTGGGTAAAATGTGCATATTTTTTAATTAATTGTTAACTTGTATACACACAAAAACAAATTAACACAAAAAATAAATTTTCATCCACTCTTCTGGATAGAATTCAAATAAGGGATTGAAAGAATAGCTTATGGCAAAATTTCTTTACAATTTTCAATCAAAATTTTAAAATTTAATGTTCTATATTTATGCTTGCTTGGAAAAACCTCATAATTTTAATTACAGTCTTGAAAAGAATCAAGAATCAATAATTTATTACAACAGTTGACATTAATTAGGCCAAGAAGTCTCAATACTCCATAACAGTAAAATGCCCAGTAATTTAGGGCCTATGCCTAAAAGTATAGAAAGAAATGTTTTTACCAATGATCAAACAAGATTTAAAATTAAAATGTTGTTAAACTTTAACACCCTTTTTTAGCTAATCCCCTGTTTTCTCATTTAGATATATTCCTGTACACATCCTACACTGTTTTCTTGTTGCAGCCTATGTTTCATGGGTCAGATTCTATGCCAGCTACCCCAAAGACGTAAGAGACACTTTTAACTTCAAGGAGCTTCACCTTGGTCACTTTGCCAAGAGTTTTGCACTCAGAGACCCTCCTACAAGTATTGGGGGTCTAGGGAAGCCCAGTTTCAAGCAAGACAATCAAAGGTAAGATCTTTTGGATTTCTGATACATACGTACTTCAGATATGTGATTTTGCTGGAGACTGGTTTGTGTGCTGGTGGTTTGTCCTCAGCTATAATAGCACTAATTGAGTTCATCCTAGACCAGATAGAAAACGAACAATACATTTCCGCCATTTTCCTTGACTACAGTAAGGCTTTTGACTGCCTGGGCCACGACCTGATATGTAAGAAACTCGAAAGACTCGGTATAAGAAACTCAGTGACGCTAGAATGGTTCAAAAGCTACCTAACGGTTCACAAGTCGTGGAACTGAAAACTCATCAAATGAAGTCACAGCAAGTTTAAATCTTCAAAAAGCAAGCTGACAAGAAGAGTTCCACAAGGATTAAAAGAAGGAACTCCAATAATACTAATGCAAAGCTGTGCAACGTTACCAGACTGACGATTTAAAAAATGACACCAAAATTGATCAAAGCAAAAATTATCAGTGGTAAGTTTAAAGGAGAAATAGTCTTAATCGCAAGAATACTGATGATTTCATCCAAATTACCCTCTGAATTGAAGCAACTACAATTTCCTTTGTGTCTTGTGTTCGCAATCACCATTATAAAGGCACTAGGGCAATCCCTGATCATTGTCAGTTTAAATTTAGAAAATGCATGCTTTTCACACGGACAGCTGTATGTTGCGTGCTCACGTGGTGGTAGGTACGCCTAAAAACTTATTTTTATTTTTGGTATACACTTTTATTATTCATCGTAATGAACAAATTACCATTTAAAATAATAGTTGTTAAGCGCAGCAAAGCGCGGCGGGTAACTGCTAGTTTTTTATAAAAAAAAGAAAGTAGTGGAAGTGGAGTGAGCCAGTATACAGATTGTGATAGTGTGTAGTATTCTATTTTCTACCTTATTTTTTACTGAGATGGTGTGACATAAAAGATGCTGCTGCAAGTTGATTTATTAGTCATCCTATCAGTTTGATATGGTTAAAAGTCTGCATATGCAGAAATAAGTAATTTCACACATCAGCAGAACCTTTCAGTGGGTCACTTCAACCACGTTCATTTTGATTGAAAAACTAGCAACAACTTAAATATGGGGATGGAATGTCTCGTTCTTCCTTTACTTACATATTTAACTTAGTGGTATTACAACCACAAATGTTTGGTAAAGATGCAGAAAAATCACTTTCACTATGTTGTTGTCATACCATACCATAAAAAGTTTCATTTATTTCACACATTTTTAGTTAGTACTGTATAGATAGACCTACTCATCCAAAACTGTTTGGGATGCGGTTTTTAAGCAGTTGTGCTGAAGAGTTCCTTGTTAATGATTCACTCTTCTTGTGTAAAAATTATTTACTATCATGTCAACCAAATCTTCCCGTTAACATCCACAGACAATAGACCATTATCTAATTGGTTCTATAGTATGTGGTTTAACACATTTGCTATGGTTGCTTAATCGCTGGCGGAGGCCAGGAGCCGAAGTGGCCAATACGCAGAGGGTGAATGAGTGCAATAACATGTTAAAATTATTTTCTACCCAACAGAAGAGCCACTGTGCAGCATTTATTGCTTAACACGTTCATGCGACGCCGCGGTCATTGCCACAGACCGAGGTATACATTTGAATCTTACACGGGCAAAAACCTGTAAAACAGTGATCATTTACATCTTAATACGCTACAATCGTGTTTGTAAATAATTTATTCTTATTTTTTTGTATTTTTTATAACTTTTTCTAATGTCGCATATTTGCGACACCCGGTCTACATCGAAGACAATAGTGAAAACTATCATAGTTTTCTTGAAATAGACCATACGTTGCATATATGCGATGGCTCATTTTTGTTTTTGTTTTGAGGTGAAAGTAAGTAAATAAAACAGAATATTCAAGAACAGTTTATAACTGAACAAATATAAAAGCTACATAGGATAATGCAGCATACATACTGCATACACACATACAGTGATGCAGAAAAGTAAACGCAAGTTTTTCCAACTATCATATGACGTCACCAATCATAATATCCACAGACCAAGCGACGCAGTAGTGCGTCAGACATCTCTGTAGACCACTGCAGGGAATTCAGTGGCTTCAAATAGACCGTTACAAAGATATAAGCATTTTAATAACACTAGAACCCTGACGCAAATATGCGACGGCAGTCTATTTTAATGTGACTAGCCGTCGCATATATGCGACGGCAGTCTATGGGTGGAAACCGGCCGTCGCATATGTGCGTCGCTGGTCCATGTGAATGCAAAATTTTGTACTATTGCAGTAGCGAACGTGTTAATAGCATTTTGGACGCAGTTCCGCTCAAAATGGACAGGAGCAGTACTGGACAGTTGTAAACAGGTCCTCAGCTGGGACAAAAGAACCAAAGAAGCCAACAATAAATGCCTCAAACCCAACAAAACGCTGCTGACGTGAGAACGTTCCTGGATGAAAGCTAAGCTAACCTCACACTGAGCAATGCAAGTTGGCTTAACAGTGCTGCAATGAGTCTCGCTACCAGAAGGAACCAGCAAGGTTAACAGTCAACAACGTAAGAACCAATTGAAAAACACAGCAATAGAATCATTTGATTGAGTATTAGGATTTAAATTACTAGGAGACATTCCTCCCCTTCTAGATTCGACTGAGTGGAAATTTTTTTACAGTTCTCTTAGTAATTTACCTCTTTCTAGTAATAAAAAAATACTATAATAAGTAAAAAAAAAACACTGTTGGGCCTATCTTGTACACTCTTTGAAGTAGTGGTGATTTTGCTCAATAGTATTGTCAAATTGTGAGTACTGTTCCAAATTACATAAATTAATTTATTGATTAGTATTAAAAACGTAATACATTGATTATATGTCAATGACCATCAAACATAAATTTAAATTACAATTACTATTAGAAAATGTATTCTAATTATTTATCAGAATAAAGATAATTTTGTTTTTACTTAATCGTTATTTTTAACTTAAGTATTGACTTAAGTCCCCTGTAATCAATGTCCGGGCAAAAATTAATTGTTCTACTAAACTTTACCTGTGGTCCCTTAAGATGAAAATTGTGGCTTAACCCATACTAGTGTCCTACTTTCTCTGAAAATAGCAATCTCTAAGTCTTTGTGGTTGACCATTGTGGTGCCCACGGTGTCAGCATGGTACATATTATGGTACACAGTTTTTACTCCAAGCGTTGCTCAGTCAGGGCACCAGCTGTAATATTCACAATTGAGCCAAGCAATAAAGCCATAATCCGATGTTGCCTTGCGAATCGATAGCAGTTCACGAGTCACACCTCGTAAATCCGACAAGAAAGTAAACTGTTTCCAGCAAGAAACCTTCGGCCATGACAAATCCCACTTGGGTTTGACTGCGTAAATATACTATAAAAAAATTAAGATGCCATTACAAGAGCAATTTAGTGAACAAAATGAGCAAGTAATGGTGTGATGATGGATGGAGCAGAGCGAGGGAAAAGTGGCGTCCCTAACACGATAACCACCCCGGCCATTGTGCAGCATAACTCATGCTCTATAAGTGATTCACACACTTCCAATAACATGTTCGGCCCGCCGCATTATCTCTTAATACCCTCGTCCGACCAATCTCAGCGACAATGCGGCCACATTGTTTGTCGTCAGGTTCAATCTGAAGACCTCGGAGTAGATGTTTGAAAAAATGATAATATAATGTCTAGTAGCTTGGTTTTATTTGGAATTGAAACGGTATCTGCATACCTTAGACAGATAGACTTTGCTGATTGCAGTTTTGGTATTGTTACTGTGGATGTTTCTAAAAAAATTAAGCATCAATTGGATCGGACAATTTTCAACAGCTCTTTCTCAAACCCTGAAGCTGACAAACGGTATTGTAATGAAGAATACTTGTTCCTCTATTTATTACTATAGTGTGGCGTCAACTTAGCCACAGCAATCAATTGCCTTGGATCCTTACTTTATTTTAACATTCATTATGCAACTGCTATTGTTTGATTGTTAAAATGTTTTGTTTATCATACAAAAAAACATTATCGTCATTAATGTTATTAATGTCATTGTTGTGTTATTGTTATTAATGTTATTGTATACATTCATTATTGTCTTGGTTTATATCAGAGTTCATGATTTGTTTTGTAAATAAAAGGTTTGCAAAATATTGGCTCATATTGTGGTGCATTATTTTAAACAGATTAAATATCACTATATTAGTATGATGAGTACCTTTTTTTTATCAAACAAAAACGACTTTTGATATACGGGGTGAATAAAAAGTCAAGACCCCTCCCCCCCTCTAATATTTTTCAAAGTAAATATACAGAGATATCCTTTTGGTGGTCATTTTGTGGATCTTAGCTGGAAGTTTCATTTTATGATTTTGAAATTTTTGAGTGCCCCCCTAAAAGGGGGATTTGGGGGGTAACTAAAATATTTTAAATGTAAACCCTCTTCATGTGACACCTCATTTTAAAGTGTTTACAAAAACTTAAAGAATGGTGAAAACAAGAGGTCGCTATCTCTTCTCTATTCAAAATGGTAGCCCGTCAAATATTGTTGAAAATCCATGGTAATATTGGTTTGTAATGGTAATATTGGCTATCATTTTGGATAGTGAAGAGATAGCGAACTCTGGTTTTCGCTATAATTTAAAAAAATTTAAATCTAATCCCCTATTTTTGACACTTTGTTTTGAAGTGTTTACAAATAGGTACTAAAAGAATGGTGTAACCCAACACAACAATTATTTCTTTTCACAACATTCTAAAAGCCATTACAGTGTCCATAAAATTATCGTTAGTCTTCTACATTATTAACTCCAGTTTACAAAGTTATGTTATGGTTGCACCATGTGAAAGTGTCATAACGTAAGGATTAAACATACTCCATTAGAGATTTATCTACATAATTTAAAATCGGAAACTCGGTTTGGTAGTTTATTGTCTAGTAACGATTGAGTGTGTTGGTGTCTCCTCTTCATTTATCGGTTTTTATAAGCTAATTTCAACAAATTATCAT